AAGCTTCTTTATCTTTAAGCCTAAAGATTGCAAAGCTTGTCAAAATACAATTTTTCAGATGTCTGTCACTCATAAAACTACCTTATGCTGTGTCCTGCAATAAAATAATGTTAACAGAGGCCAGATTAGCTTTGACTTTTGTCCAGTGAATAGTTCACTTCAATAAAACTTATTTCTTTTCCTTTCAAAGCAGAGTCTCGAACCATTTACATTTTGGTTCAGTTGGGGTTTAGCAATGTTTCCTAACTCTCTGGTTCAGACACTAACTTAGAAAACTTTGAACCTGTTTGAACTGGTTCAGATACATTTCCTGCAGATTGTCACACACTCTTATGCTTGCATTGTAACTCTTAGAAAAGGAATATTTATTATTGTATTCTTCAGGAACTTCTCAATGGAATTTCATTCAAAATATTTTGTATGCAGAAATGTATCACATTTTCAAACTATGATCTGGGTTGTTGGATTAGGATAAATCACAAGTTACATAATACCAATATCCCATGTTATCAAGGACATACCTGAGGGACTAGGTAGGAGCAGCCTCAGTTGGGGCTGGGAGTGATTAGCAATTGGGCCAGCAGTATGGCCAGAGCAATGTACTGTATTTAGTTGGCTCTGTGTGTTTAAGCCAATCACCTCAAAGACTTAATGCAACTCAAAACATTCCAAAATTCTTGTAAGATTAAAAAAGAAAGATGAAGTTATGAAGTAATTTTTGAAATCAGTAATGCAAAAAAAAGGTAGCAAAGGAAAGCAGCAGGCCTATTAATAAAAAATTCACCACCAGGGAACTGCAAACATTACAATCAAGCAATATGAAATAATTCTGTTATGAAAAACAAACAAACCTCCTTGACGTAGTGGACAGAGGGGAGACGTTCTAGGCCCAGCCAGGGAGGTGAGGTGATAATGGGGTTTTTATTAGTCAGAAAAGAACTGATACAACACCTCTCCCCTTTCAGCTAGAACTCCCTTCACTTCCTTCCTCCTTTCAGGCCCCTCAGAGTCCCTCCGTCCCTCCTTCAAGTAGTCTCCCATAGCATAACACAATAACTGAACCTGTGCAGGGTGACTATTGGAGTGGCAGCAGGAAGAAACTTCAGTGCCAGGGAAACAAAGCCAGGAACACCCTGGAAGAACAGTGGAGCCTTACATTCTCAAGTCAAAACAAAGGTCCTGTGTTCCACACTCCTCCTGCCTCACCCACCATGTCTGAAGCCTGAGTTATTGGCCTCTAGCACTCACCAGCAAGCAGGAGGAGATGGTGAGGGGAGGGAGGTGTTCTCTTCCATGGGGAGTCCTCTACCCGGGCATAATTAATCGAGAACTACCAATCCCAGAATACTTTTATCCCCCCTCTTCCTCCTCTCATTTCTGGTTGCTTCTTGGGAAGTGTAGTCTGTGTTTCTCTCTCTGTAAGGTTGGCGCATCCTGAGAAGACACTCCCTACCACCTGATGATTGAACCTGTTACTTTGAACTGGTTACTGGTTTTTGTTTTTTTGGGTTTGATTCCCATTTGGGATCAATATGAGTCAGAGGTTTTCAGTCTTGGGTCAGTTCTAGTTCACTCATAAAAACTTTTCTAAATCGGTTTTTGATTTCAGTTCAACTTGTTTCAAAGGGATTGACTTTTGATCAGAAATTAAATATAAAAAATAAAGGATCATTTCCCTCTCAACCCAATAGATTTAAATCAGATAATCACTCTATATGCTATTTTATATTGTCCTAATCCTGTACTAAAAGGGAGAATAGGCTGGGGTCTGCACCTCTTTCACTCCTCCACCCCTCCCCCACCAGTAGGGGGATGTACTGTTTTTACCCTCCCTCCGCGGCTGGGAGGGGGACATGCTGTACACACCCACACAAACACCTGTAGGGATAGGGACAAGCTTGCAAACTCAGCTGCTGGTTCTGGAACCCAAACTGCGCTTTGTTAAGAGTTACGAAAATTTCAGCGTTACGGACAATCTCCATTCCTGAGGTGTCCGTAACTCTCAGGTTCTACTGTATTTGGAACAAGCTAGATCTGCTAGAGGCACTCTGATACTGTACTATTTCATCTGGTATGGAGTTAGCTTGCCTCTTTGAAGATCAGCAACAAGGTATACTGTCATGGTGGACAGATATCAGAGGGGTAGCCGTGTTAGTCTGAATCTCTATGGTGGACAGATAGAGGCAGTTGTGCCCTTTCTAATTCTTTATCATGATTGTCTTCAGACTTTTGGAAATCCTAAAGGCTACAAAGCTGCTTCAACCATCTCCAATATAGGAGTTGTCCACTAGTGCCCCTTGGAGAGAGATCCAGCAACGTTTAGTTAATTAATGTCAAGGCCTAACTAAGACTAGCCCATGTTAGATTTGAAACTGAACCAAGAAAAAAAAATTCGGAATGGAGTACAGCAGAACTGGGATGACGTTCTCTCTGGGAAGACTTTCAAGCATCCATTGAAAAATTCAAGAGGACTACATATTCCAATATCCTCTTAACAATGCTATCTATAGTGTAGCCTGGAGTTTAGACAAATTCTTTTTTGTGCCATGGCACTTGCCTGTGTTCCTGTAAATCTTTACAAAAATGATGATGATAGTACATATCAACAGCCTGCTTAACAGTTCAACAAATACTGAATGCCTTCGGAAACCTGGGACAGGTCATGAACTCTTTGAAGGGAATAGCAGAACAATTTCAGTCCGTGGTTTGTCTTGGCATTCACACTCTGATATGTCAGCCTGTCCCTCAGCAGCCAAAGTCAGAGATTCTTAAGTGTTTCTTCTTGGAATAATCTCTTTGCTCCTGATCTGAGGTAGTCAAAGTCCTTTACTGTTGAATGTGTATGTAACAGAATCAACACCTTGGAACCTCTTGCACTATATCTTTGCTGCTTCTGCAGTTAAGTGCTTATGGCTAGTATCACTACCTCTCCTTTATTATGTGTGTAGTAGCCAAAAGATCTATCCAGTGGTTGTGAGACAAATTTAGTAAAGGGGAGTGACATCTCTACCCTTTTGGAACAAGTCTGTCAGCAGTGGATATCAGTGACATACATCAGTGATGAAGGCCAGTTTAATGGATCTATCTGAGAACAGTTGAGCTGTCTCATGTCTAAAGGTTAGTGATGTACTAGAGAGAATATACATCCAGTGAAAATTTAGGCATTTCCAAAGGTCTCATGACCTTCAGCGTCCAAACTGTTGAAGGAGAAGCAGATTTGATCTGTGCAGAGCACATTCTGTTAATAAAGCTGCCATTGCTTACTTCATCTAGCAAAGCAGTAGTTGAAACCACCATTCATTGGAGCTGCCTAAAGATACTTTTTTTCAATGGTATTTTCTTAAACTTCTGAATCTATTTCTTATGGGGGTTAAATAAACTTACGGGCTGGGAGTATGTGTCATTTCTCAAGTCATCAAGCAGTTTGGTTGCTTCATTTCGTTATCATCTATCTCCGAATGTTAAAATGGAGTGGCCTTGTAATGACCTCTTGTATCCACAAATACTATCCACTACCTATCCTGTTCTTGGTTACCTAGAGAAGGAGGTCTATGGATGTTTTTGGTTTCGTTTTGGTTTTTTTGAATCCGCTGGTCTGAAGAAATACAATTGCATTTTCTTTCACCATCCCTCTCTTTGCTTCTGTCTTCCTCATTACATGTTTTTTTTAAATCTGTCTCTGTATCTCAGATGAACCAAATCAGACTTATCTTTATAAGTAGATCTTATTCTTCTTTGGTATCATGATACTTGCAGGGATCCAGATAAGAGAAATTTCATTAGAAACAGTCTGAATTTTGTTTTTGTTTTTCTTCTCAATAGTGTTCTGGATTTTTTTCCCACCTCTTTGAGATTTTAGATTAATTAAAGAATTGTGGTTTCTCTTTTTTATACACTGCCTTCATGTAAATATAGACAGTAGTGAAACTCATGTGTTAGAGGAGCACTCAAGTAAGACAAGGCAATGGCAAAGAAGCTAAATGAATTCTTTGCATTGGTCTTCGGTACAGAGGATGTACAAGATACCCACATCAGCGTTGTTCTTTTTGGATGACAGCTCTGAAGTACTGTCCCAAATTGATGTCAGTAGAAGAGATTTTAGAATAAATAGATAAATTAAACAATAATAGGTCACCAGGACCAGATGGTATTCACTCAAGAATTCTGAAGGAACTTAAATAGGAAATTGCAGAACTATTAACTGTGGTATGTAGCCTATCACTGAAATCGGCCTCTGTACCAGAGGAAGGTAACTAATGTTAACAACAGTTTTTAAAAAGGGCTTTAGAGGAGATCCTGGCAATTACAGGCTGGTAAGCCTAACTTTAGTACTGGGCAAATTGGTAGAAACTATAGTAAATAATGGAATTGTCAGATACAGATAAACATGATTTGTTGGAGAAGAGTTACTATGGCTTTTGCAAAAGGAAGTCATGCCTTGCCAATCTATCAGAATTATTTTCAGGAGTCAACAAGCATGTGGATAAGGGTGATCCTGTGGATATGGTATGCTTGGAATATCAGAAAGCCTTTGACAAGGTCCCTCACCAAAGGCTCTTAAGGAAACTGGGGGCTTGTCTAAACTTACAGAACTGTAGCAGCTATAGCACTTAGTGAAGAAGCCACCTACGCTGACTTGAGAGCGTCTCCTGTTGACATAGGTACTCCATTTCCCCAAGAGGGGGAAGCTAGGTCGAAGGGAGAAGCCCTCCCATCAACATAGTGCTGTCTACACCAGGAGTTAGGTCAGTATAACTGCGTGACTCATGCTTGCATGAAACTGTGTATTAAATTGAAAAATAGTAGTTCTGAGAAGGAAGACTGTATTTATGGAGAGAGAAACTCAAATACTATATATGCATAAATAGCAAGAATTCAGTGCAATCTGAACCTGGTCCAGGGTAATGAATGATATTATATAATTTATCCAGACACATTACAAGGGAATAACTGCATTTTGTTTGTTTAGCATGCACAATAATTGTTTTCTTTAATTACAGTTCATTGCCATGAAAAGGAGAATGTGATTAAACTGCTCACCTTATGAAATTTGGCTTACATGTGAATCTGCCAGGTATAGACGTGTGTGTGTGTGTGTCTCTCTGTCTGTTTAGAGCATTGCTAAGTAAAGTAACATTTTGATCTTCTGCTGAGTTCTGGTACATAATATTTACCTAAAGACTTTATATATCATTATTATTATTTATTTTATTGTAGTATTTCTGAAGTGGTATTGAAATGTAGCCTTTTTAAAAAATAATATTTATAAAAATAATTTCTGCTGTGGAGATGTACATAGGCATCCCTAATACACCGACTTGGCTTTAAAGGTTGATCATGAGAAATTCAGGGAATGTGTTGTTTTCCCTGGCTTATTGGTGCTGTGTGCTTGTCTCTTTGGATGTTATATGCCGTTGACTCATATTTAGTTTGTAATCCACTATGACCCCAAGATCCCTTTCCACAGTACTTCTTCCTAAGCAGTCATTTCCCATTTTGTATCTGTGCAACTGTATTATCAAATACTTGGCTCACTGCAATCAGAAGAGAGGCAGGATGGTTCTTGCTAGTGGAATACTAAAATCTTTAGTAATTCTTCCAGCCTGGGCTTTGGAGGTTGATGTATTGGTAACTTGTTGCAATTACTTTTAAATATTTTGAGATGTCTTTTTTGTTTTTGTTTTTCCTGTTTTTATCATTTCAACCTAGGTAATACAAAGACCTGTGGAATATGAGTGATGACAAACCCTTTTTATGCACTGCCCCTGGATGTGGCCAGGTAATAGGATGCTTTGAATCTATTAATGTTGGTCAAGTAGACAAACACAGGTAAATGTATTTTATGTTAGATTGAAGAGTAGAAATATTTCTTAATGACAGATGTTGGAAAGTAACTGCATGCTGTAATTATTTTGTAAAGCAGGTGACAGCAAGAATTTTCAGTAATTTTTAAAAAAATTTCAAAAATGCTATCCATAGGATAGATTCTTTAAAAAAGAAAAACAAAAGAAAAACCCCACAATTGTTATATCTCTGTCAGAAAAAACACTTTGTTTAAATTCTGCATTTGTAATTTTCTAAATGGAAACAAATAATGCATTAATTTGCATAATAGTGATCACATTCTTAACTCTCTAGAAGGAATTAGCAGAAAAACAAGTGCAATACAAAGTGTGATACAGCTCCAGTATTCATGATATCTGTAGAGGTTAAATGATAGCAGGGCTCTTGTATAGTGAAGCCTGGGGGCATACTTTAAGTTTCGGTAAACATCTCAATTTTCCCCAATGCATTGTTATAATCCAGTACTAGCCTACTGGTTCTACCATGCTTCAGGAAGGAGGCCTTCCCATTGATTGGTCAGCTTCAGAGAAAATCCCTTACAAATGGGCTGTACAGGGAACTGAAATCCCATTCTGGTCTTGTGCATTTCCAAATTTCCCTCCCATTTTGAGCTGAAGCGTAACTTTTTTAAAAAGGCCCAGAGGCAATACTTGCAATTACGGACAGTAACCTAGCTTCAGTACCAGGCAAACTGGTTGAAACTATAGTAAAGAATAGAATTATCAGACACATAGATGAAAACAATATTTTGTTGAAGGGTCAACACGGCTTTTGTAAAAGGGAAATAACATCTCACTAACCCTATTAGAATTCTTTGAGGGTGTCACCAAACATGTGGACAAGAGTGATCTGCTCAATATAGTGTACTTGGACTTTCAGAAAGCCTTTGACAAGGTCCCTCACCAAAGGCTCTTAAGCGAAGTAAACAGTCATGGGACAAGAGGGAAGGTCCTCTCCAGGATGAGTAACTGGTAAAAAGATAGGAAACAAAGGTAAGAATAAATGGTCAGTTTTCACAGTGGAGAGAGGTAAATAGTGAGGTCCCGCAAGGCTAAGTGCTGGAACCAGTGCTGTTCAATATAACTCATAAATGATCTGGAAAAAGGGGTGAACAGTGAGGTTGCAAAATATGCAGACAATACAAAAATTACTCAAGATAGTTAAGTCCAAAGCAGCCTGCTTTGGACTTATAAAGGGGTCTCTCAAAACCGTGTTATTGGGCTAGGAAAGAGCAAATGAAATTCAATGTTGATAAATGCAAAGTAAAGTGTATATTGTAAAACATCATCCCACCTACACATATATAATGATGAGTTCAAAATTAGCTATTACCACTCGAGAAAGATCTTGTAATTTTCCGAGGCTAGATCTCTGAAAACATCTGCTCAGTGTGCAGTGGCAGTCAAAAAAGCGAACAGAATGTTAGTAACTATTAGGAAAGTGATAGATAATAAGACAGAAAATATCATAATGTCCCTATATAAATCCATCGTACGCCCACACCTTGAATACTGTGTGTAGTTTTGGTCACCCCATCTGAAAAAAGCTGTATTAGCATTGGAAAAAGTGCAGAGAAGGGCAACAAAAATGATCAGGTGTATGAAACAGCTTCCTTATGAGAAAAGATTAAAAAGACTGTGTGACTGTTCAGCTTAGAAAAGAGACGACTAAGGGGGGATATGGTGGAGAAAGCGAATAAGGAAGTGTTTTTTATCCCTTCACATATCACGAAAACTGGGGATCACTCAATGAAATTAGTAGGCAGCAGGTTTAAAACAAACATAAAGAAGTAAGTCATCTTCACACAATGCCCAATCAACCTGTGGAAGTCATTGCCTGCGGATGTGAAGGCCAAAAGGATAAGTGGGTTCAAAAGAGAATTAGACAAGTTCATGATGGATGGATTCATCAATGACTATTAGCCAAGATGGTCAGGGATGCAAACCCATGCTGTGGGTGTCCCTAAGGTTCTGACTGCCAGAAGCTGGGAATGGATGACAGAAGATGAACCTCTTGATAATTGCCCTGTTTTGTTCATCCCTTCTGAAGCATCTGGCACCGTCCACTGTCAGAGGACAGTATGCTGGGCTAAGTGGACCATTGTTCTGACCCAGTATGGCCATTCTTATGCTCTCATAATGTGAGGCTTTCACGCCTTCTCAACTCCCATCAGGATTGGAAAAGGGGTACTATATTTTGTTCTAGGTTATTAATCTTGTTTTTCTTTCCTTCCGTACTGGTATGGCCCAGCTTCTGTGGTTTTAGGTAATACTTGAGGTTTTCTTGATGCAAACAGTGATCAGATATTCACTTTTATTTTATCTGCTCACAATTTTGTCAATATCCACTGCGAACTTGCAAGTGGTCCTTCCTGCAGGGTGTAGTGAGGAAGACATATGTAGACTTCAGGGGGAGGTGCCAGGATGTGAATCTCTCAACCTGGGTCAGTTTGTAGTGGGAGCGGTAGCCTATATCACGTAATGAAGTGCACGCTAACTTTAAGGAATAACTAGGGCTTGATAGTTCGATGGACACAACTCTCATAATAGAGTGAAAGTTAATATTACACATCACATCTGGGCAGCCTGTGGTTAGGTCCCCCTGAGCAGACTGAAGACCTTTTAATTGTTACCTATTCTTATGATGATTATGTAGGTATGTAATCTATGGTCTGAAAATGTAGCTGCCCATAGCTGTCGGGGTTTTCCACATGTAGATGAGTATAATTTTCCAGTGTATTAAATAATATTGAAGCTAATAAGCCATTTTCCTTTAGGCTTGTCTTCTGTGTTTCTTATCATGTACTAATGACAGCTCAATTTATACTTATTCTGTAAGGAAAAGTCATTGCGTTCTTGCAGATAGTGGGGTTTGGTTTATGTGGGTGTTTTGTTTTTTGCACAATGTTGCTTTACAGAAGCAACAAGATTTATTTTAATACAACTCTAGGATTTGTTCTTAGTCTTATTCAGTACCATTTGTCTGGCAGTGTCTAAGTCCTGAGTGGTAACATTGACTCTGAATTTGATTTCTTGTCAGTTTAAGTGAGACTCTGATCATCATTTTAACATCGAATTGTGTATTTAATTTCTGATTGTAATGTTTATAATTGAAAGATTCAAGGAGGTGAATGTTCTTTGATTTTTTTTTTTAAAGGAAATTTTAAAGTATTACATTCAAGAGTTCAGCATACTTTTATTTTTGAAAGAATGTTATGGCTTATAGACTCATAGACTTTAAGGTCAGAAGGGACCATTATGATCTTCTAGTCTGACCTCCTGCACAACGCAGGCCACAGAATCTCACCCACCCACTCCTGTAACAGCCCCCTGAACTATGTCTGAGCTATTGAAGTCCTCAACTTGTGGTTTAAAGACATCAAGGTGCAGAGAATCCTCCAGCAAGTGACCCGTGCCCCACGCTGCAGAGGAAGGTGAAAACCCCCCAGGGCCTCTGCCAATCTGCCCTGGAAGAAAATTCCTTCCCGACCCCAAATATGGCGATCAGCTAAACCCTGAGCATGTGGGCAAGACTCACCAGCCAGACACCCAGGAAAGAATTCTCTGTAGTAACTCAGATCCCACCCTATCTAGTGTCCCATCACAGGCCGTTGGGCATATTTACTGCTAATAGTCAAAGACCAATTAATTGCCAAAATTAGGCTATCCCATCATACCATCCCTTCCATAAACTTATCAAGCTTAGTCTTGAAGCCAGATATGGCTTTTGCCTCCACTGCTCCCCTTGGAAGGGTATTCCAGAACTTCACTCCTCTGATGGTTAGAAACCTTTGTCTAATTTCAAGTCTAAACTTCCTGATGGCCAGTTTATATCCATTTGTTCTTGTGTCCACATTGGTACTGAGCTTAAATAATTCCTGTCCCTCCCTGGTATTTATCCCTGTGATATATTTATAGACAGCAGTCATATCTCCCCTCAGCCTTCTTTTGGTTAAGCTAAACAAGCCAAGCTCTTTGAGTCTCCTTTCATAAGATAGGTTTTCCATTCCTCGGATCATCCTAGTAGCCCTTCTCTGAACCTGTTCAAGTTTGAATTCATCCTTCTTAAACATGGGAGACCAGAACTGCATACAGTATTCCAGATGAGGTCTCACCAATGCCTTGTATAACGGTACTAACACCTCCTTATCTCTACTGGAAATACCTCGCCTGATACATCCTAAGACCGCATTAGCTTTTTTCACAGCCATATCATATTGGTGGCTCCTGT